AGTGAAGACCCCAAATAAACACATGCTCAGTTTGAAGAAATACATATGGCTCCACTTTAATAAAAATCATAAAGTCACTTAACTCCCAACAGCAACATGGGCAAGAAGAAGAGTCAAGTCTTCAGTTGGCTGTAGGAAGAAGGACCACATAGAGTTAAAGGACTAAATTTACCTGCAGACCGGGCACATACATACCATATACATTTGTGACCTCCATAAAGAAGGAAACATACATTTTCTATAGTTTGGGTCAGTTTGGAATACAAAGAACCTTTATCTTATTTCAATAATCCTTGGCCAATGATCCCCTGGGATCCATAACTTTAAACACACAGGCACACAATAGCAGTGAAATAGGAAAGAAATGGTGCCAACAAATGTTTTTCAACAGTCAATGCTGAAGATGGGTTAAAACAGGCATTTGCATTGAAGATGTCTCCTCTATAACAGTAAAAGTCATTTGTCAAGGGTTTTCATCCTATTTCAGATCACATATGAAATATTCATTCCTCATATCTCTGATACTCTAATTCAGATTATTAGAGGTAAGAATATGCACCTAATTACTTATGTTTCTGCCTTTTATCTGCTTTAAATGGTATCATTATAGATTGATAATAATTTTTGTTAAAGTTTCCATCTTTTTGTTCTTACATAAGAAGCAGCCAACCCTTGAAATGTGTATTTCATTTTAAACTGAAAAATCCAATTCCTTTTTTCAGGAAGTCTGGTTGGCATAATGGCTAAAGTTTAGACTCTAGAGTGCAAAAAAAGAAATTTTAAAGCCAATGAATTTTTGAGCAAGATTCTTACCCTCTTTTAGCCTCAGTTTCCTTGTCTATGGAATGAATGTAGGTAACAATGTTTATCCCATAGGATTATTAAGAGAATTAAATAAGGTAATAGCATTTAACACAGAGTTGGCACATGGGGTAAAGACCACTGTTTGTTTTGTTGCCTGGTGTATTCTAAGAACCTAGAACAGTGCCTGGAAGGTCATAGTTGCTCAACAAATATTTGTTAAATACATTGTGTGATTATCCTAAGGAGCTCTGACATTGGGAAGAATTTCACCCATCAGCAGTCTAGAATTTCCATTTCTCATCTTGAAAACAGTATCATTAAATCATCCCCAAAAGTTATGTAGTTCATCCTCCTGCCTCTGACATGACTTCACCCAAACCAGCAAAGACAAGCACTCTATTCTATCCTTAAAATATTCCTCAGGAAGATGCTGCCTAATCTTCATAGAACCAAAAGCTCTTCCTCCCTTTGGCTATAAGTTATCTGCTTCTGCAATTACTTTTCTTATTCCCTCCCCTACCTCCGTCACTTTCTTACTCATGTCCCTTTAGAACTCTTCTGCGTATGTTGCTTTTCCTCTCCAACTTGTCAAACTCATTTTGAACAGCAGTCCTTGTGATTTGTTCCCATAAAACCAATGAGGAGTTTTAGATGCAATAAGCCAGCCTGCAGCCATGAAACATCTCATCCTAGGATCTACCGAGAGGCCAGCCCTACAAACCAGCTATTGCCATAGACAGGATTCTGGTAAGGTTGGGTTCCATTTGGAAATGGTTCTCTCAAATAGTATTAATTATCTTCTTTTGAAGTGTTCATGAATAGATCCTATCTATGCTGGTAGGGAGAAAGATTCACATGTAAAATGATGACTGTAGTAGACTATTGTTTCTTTTGCTTTAAAAAAAAAAAAAACTCTCATTCATGTGAATTGGTTAAAATGGCAAAAAAAAAAAGTATTTAAAACTTTAATTCTCTTCTTTTCTCTCTTGTAGATATCTAGGTTAGTGTTACAGCCTTGATTAAGACATCTTAAGTTACATACACCTGGTTTTAATAATGCCCATACTTTCTTTCCTAATAGACCCAAGGGGCCAAAATGAAAACTTTATATGTAGATGCTTCTGTCAGTAAGCCTGGCTTTTTTCTTTGGTAGTAACATGCAAAATACTAATACTAAAGATATCATAACAATATGGAAAGAGAGTTATGACAAAAAAAAATGCTATAGGGTTTTCATCTGAGTAAGTGTTGTTTCCTGATACGTGATATACAAATGAAAATGAAATAGAAATTTCTCAGGTTGCAGAAATTTTCCTAGTTTACTTGAATTTTTGAAATAATATGCAAGTTATAATCTTTTAACTGGATGACCCTAAACTTTCTGATCAAGTCAAACAGAAATATTTGTGACTATCCAAACAGAAAAAAATGGCTATTTGATTCCTAAATATGCAATAAGCAGGCTGTCTTGGTAAAAGACAGGCTGACAAAACAAAGTACAGATTTCATTCAACCTGATATTCTGGTGCCTACTTTGCTGACCTAGAGAATTACTTATGACGGTACTGCAACAGGATAGCAATTCTGCAATGAATTCACTGGAGAATGGTAAATATCACCAGGAAAAGTCTCAGATCTTATTCCACTCATTCTGCCACTCTACAGAAATCTGTATCCATGGGAACCTCAATCCCTATCACGAAGCGTGCACTTGATACCAAAAAGGGTAAGAATGTTTTCTGGAATAGAAAAAAGGGGTGGGTGGGTAAGAAATAATGCTGCTGGGAATTAAAATTATGATTTTAATGCTATAGAATATATTATTCAATTTCTTTGTGGGGGTAGCCTACAGAGATGAGAGATGGGAGAGGGATATTTTTGGTGCATGGACCAAGAGGAAAGTACATTAACTGGGAATAATTGGGATGAACAGCCCTGACTGCATCTATCTGGGAGAGAACTGTCAGCAGTTAATAGGAGGATCCTTAGCCCAGGGATGGGTGATGAAAAGACCACCTTGAAAGTGAAGGGGTAGAAAGCCACTGAAAATATTCTCTGGTGTCAGGCATTAGTTTTTTCCGCCACTCATTATTGAGTGTGAGGAGCACTAATTATTGGGTCTGAGGCTCAAATTGGGCATTTATCTCCATGTTCATAATTTTATCTTGCTGTAGTATGACTTGAAAACTGACCTCCTTTGAAGCTGGTAAGGATGCCAAAATGCCAGACTGAAAAAGTGAGCCTTTCTGTGTAACTATGGAGTCCTTAATTCTTACACAGGAGGCATTTGATGGGGGACATATGTTATACGGATATTGATAAATTAAGAGATTTGCAAAGGCCAGAGGGCATAATTAAGGATATTATATTTTCTAATATTCATTATTTTCACTTATGTCCTAAGACAAACAGAAAGGGGATCATTAACAAATTACCTTAGAAATTTAGGGTTTGAATTCTTTTCCTGACTCATTCATTGAGTTGTACCCAGAAACTCCATTAGGAACAAATATTTTAATCCAATGATTTCCACTTGTGATAAAGAAAAGGGAGATATTCATATTTCTCATTCTTCTTGTTTGATAAAAACCTTCCAGTTTTTCTAAATAAAACAATCTTTACTGGATTATGATTTCATGGATATTTTTTTAAGTTATCATTCTGATTCCAGTCTGTTGTTTGACTGTGATGCTGGTGACTAAGAGTGGAACTATCCTTGTAGGTGGTATAAACCTTCTCCTCCCTCTCAAGGACTTTTTTCTTACATAAATTAACATAAATTGATTTCACTAAAAAAAAAAAGCGAATCTTGATTAGCAGGTGAAAGCAAATATATCATCAGAAGAAGCACCAAACTCTGTGATAATGGTTTTAAAAGGTGCACGAATGGGCCACCAAACTGTCACTTCATTTAGAAATTTCTGCCATTCCCCCACAGAAGAAGGACTTAAATGTAAATATATATAGTACATTCATATTTCCTGATAAGGTTCATTTAACTATGCTTTATAGCACAAACATTTGTTAATATATTTGCTGCTAGTTTTTCTCGTGTATAAGCCCTTATTAGTGGATTTGAATCAAACTAAGTCTCAAAATGCTGCCCACTGCGGGAATTCACTCAGGTGGACAGATATCATTCTCAGCTCTATGCATCTTGTTCTTATTGCATCTTTGATTACTACAGTGGACTTTACTCCTGGGACATTCTCCAAGTTGTATCAAGTTGTATTTTTAATTAAGTTTTGTTTACTTACAGTTATTTGCTTTGAGCTACACTGGAAATCTACCTACTTTGAAGAAGAGGCCTTGTTCATAGCTCATTTTGGGTAAAGGGTTATTTTTTTAAGATATAGAGGTTATTTGGTAATTGTATAATTTCAAGGTATTTCTGTTCTTTTGGCATCAGTCCTGCATTCTAAACTCCAACCTGTGGAAAGCTAACATAGGATTAAACAGACATTAGTTTTGCTAAATGACACTTAACAATTCTTGAGCTTGTGGCTTTAGGAACGAAGATACACAGCTAGTAGTTTAGTGATATTTTTAAAATCTATTTTCTCAACTAAATTATAAATTCACACTTCTATCTGAGCAAAGTATGGTCATAGATGTCACTCTTATAATATACCCTTGGAAGAAAATGATAGTAGCTTTTCAAAAAAAGGAACTCCCTTTTTTGTTTTTTATTACCTAGATAGTTCTGGAAAATAGAAATATCTGGATTCCCTAATTCCTTTCTGCACTGTTTTCTCTTTTGGGGAGTGGACTCTGTCCTGAATAATTATTGTGGGCCAGAGCTGAGTGCAAGGCAGGGAGGACCTATGACTTTCACCCTCTAGGAAGTTGATATGCTGAGCCAAGGCAACTCAGCATTTTGGAAGAATAAAATAATTCATTACAATAAAAAGTTAGCACTTTCCACATAATTGATAATGATCTATTAAATAAATCCTTTCCCCATACCATTTGCTCAAAGTACCATACATATACTCTCAACTTTATGCATTCTTATGTTTCACATTCTTTTTTTTTTTTTTTTTAAAGATTTTATTTATTTATTTGAGACAGAGAGAATGAGAGAGAGAGAGCACCTGAGAGGGGGGAGGGTCAGAGGCAGAAGCAGGCTCCCTGCCGAGCAGGGAGCCCGATGCGGGACTCGATCCAGGGACTCCAGGATCATGACCTGAGCCGAAGGCAGTCGCTTAACCAACTGAGCCACCCAGGCGCCCTGTTTCACACATTCTTTTACCCAAACTGGTCCTCCTGGTATCAACTGATGTTGCATGTCTGAATTTTACTTATCAGACTAAGATGACATAGTTGTTGAGACAACTCATTTACGGCAATGTCGTATGAAGTGAAGTTACAATTATAGTATAATTTTGATAAAGTAGACTAGGGAATGAATGTTTGTAATCTTGTGAATGGGAGCTCTATGTCTGAGAAAAAATGAAACTTAACTCCTCCAAAGAGGGAAAGGTGGGGCAGGGAGAGCGAGATCGGGAGAGAGCAGGGGACGGGCAATGCACCAGACCCTAAGACTATTATAAAATCCTTCATGAACTTAACTAAGGATGAGTGCAGTGACTGGTTATAAAATGACCTCAGTGATTTTTATTTTAAATAATATTATTAAAATCACTCCAGCTTAATTGCCATTAACTCTACTTCTTAGTTCAATGATACATTTCATGCAGTTATATTTTACGCAACACCAAAAGGTTTTTCAAACTGGCCTTTTCTTTTTAATTACAATTGCAAGCTAATACAAATGGATTTTTAGAGTCATGCAGAACTCTTTCTACTTCTGTCATAATAACTCACTCAGGAATATAGTTATGTGTTCCATTTCCCCAATGGGTCATCACTTTTCCTCCATATATGTATTCTGATGGATCTGTTTAAACCTAACCTTCAATGTGCAGAACTGCTGACTACTATGGAAACTTAAGAGGTACATTTGTGGCATCAAAACTCACTGTAATCTTTATAATGTTAAAAAAATGTTTCATTAATAATAAAGGCTGAACTTGACTGTTGAGCTTGGTTAGTTTCTGATGTTAGCCTAATCAATTGACAATAGATACAGATATCTAGATAGTGAAAAAAAAATTCAATCTCTAGATAAGAGAACCATACATGTCTGTCAGGTTAGGTCAGGTAAAGAAAATATAGAGATTAATGGGAAAATATGAAGTCTTTTGCTTTCATTGAAAACGAAGTCAAGAGCTCATGTCAATGTTTTAGTTCAAAATGATGAGGTGAGTGTATTTGAGCTTTTACAGATGAACAGGACTCACTTGAGTCTCCAATGTTCATTTGGTAATGAATGTAAGATATTGTCTGTGATAGGAAAGGCTGGGTGACATCTAAAAGGTTCATTCATTCAACAAGCATGTATTGCATACTTATTAGGTGCTGGCCAGAAAAAGATGGCAATGACATGATCCCAAATACATATTGCCTCCAATATTTTATGTTATTTGTGTGTTAAATTCTAAAAGTTAGTGAACTTACAGAATTAATTAAGTGTAAAATTAAAGCACTGTGTTTCACCAGGACTTTGTAATATAAGCACTAGAGTAGAATAGTGGGTTCAGTAGACATGCCTTCCTCTAAATTCACTCATGACTTGCACTGGGTGGATTTTTTTCTTTGCTGAGCCTCGTCTGACAGCTGCACAAGTTTCCTCTGGCTTCTCTCTTTTAATCAAGGGCTTTTTTGCAGGAGCCTTCATTCTCCACATCACAACTGGGTGCCGGGGCCCAGAAGGACTCTGAATTCGGATGATCTTGGTTGAGGCAATGTAAGACATTTTCACTGTTTGCACCACAGCATTCATTAAATTTTTGGCTGCTTGGATCAGGGAGGTGACGCTGTCCAACTGTAGGAGGAAAAAAAGAGCTATTATTCAAGAATGCAATCAGAAATTTAAAGAGATTTAATGTTACAGAAACTGAAATGTGCCACTCTGTTTTCACCCCAGAAATGAGTTAATCCCCATTTTATGTATCTATGTAAATTATCTACATTAATCCATCCACCTAAATTTATCATTTATCTATTTATTTGATGCATAAATATATTCATGTTCTATCTTCTGAGATGATATTTTTAAAAGATTAATTTCCATCTCTTGGTTTTCAGTGAAATGGATTCTATAACTTCTATATACTATTATAAGGTCCAGGTCCAGATGGTCGCTGCTTTCTTTGTAATGAATCTCCCCCATTTCCAGGGATAATTCTGAGCATTTTCTATAAAAGATGACTGTCCACAATAAAAGCAATTGTATGTGTAAGTTACTTTATAAGAACAGCAACTAAAAATTCTTCCTTTTAGGGAATTTATAGTTTCAGATAAATATGATACACACATACAGCACATACAGGTGTACATATGCATGTATACCATTCACTTTCATGAACATTTCCCAAAGAAGTCCACCTAAAAGTGTCTCTTTTTTTAAACACAGAACTTTTAAACCTATCATGCAGTATATTAAAGTAGATAAAGCCAAGTCTTTTCAGTCAAATAAGGTTGGGTTTAAATTCCAGGTCTGCCTTAGAACTTGGGCAAATCATTTAATCATTTTCATCCTAGTTTCTTAAAATATTTGTTAGAAAAAAATACTTATTAAAGTTAAATAATATGTGTCAAGGACCTAGTACAGGGATTGCCAAATAGCTGATTGCTATTAAATACATTTCCTTTGTGTCTTATGAAGACTGACAAAATCGTCTAATTATAAAGATGCACTAATGAAAGTACTAAAACAAACGTTTTCCCACATGATTTTGTTTTTAATTGTTGTCTTCTGGATTGTTCACAAAAATAATCTCAGGGAGAAATGGAGTGATATTGCTCGAGTTTTGCAAAACACCTTAGAGCTAAACTGAGTTGGTTCATTTTTATACAACTAATGCTTCTTCCATTATTTTAGTTTGGCAGATTGTCATCCCCAGCCAACTCACACAGGGAGATGTGCCTCCACTGTCACTTCTCTGTGATGTGCGCTGTCAGGGCTGAGGCTCAAACACTGGCTCTGTGGTTGCTAAAATCCATCAGCAGCTGCATGGCCTGAGTACTCTACCTTTGCAGCTCAAGCAGTCTCATCTCACATACAGAATAAATGAACGAAGGAAAGTAGTAAGCTGAGGTTATGTGTCTGGGGCAGCGGTAATTTAATTAGTTCCATTATATGCCAAGCCTGAAATCCTTGAAAAGGTAACACCAAAAAGTATGTAAATTGAAAGGCAGTAGTACTTGGCAACTACACATCTTTAAGTCGTTTTACTTATTGAAGCCAGAAATGTAAAATCTGCACATGTGGCAGGAATGACAAATGCTCTGCAAACATTAAACAGGATTTCATGAAGCACCGCCACGTATTTCAGAGGACACTTAGAGCTTCTGAAACTGTACACAACTTTAAAGAAAAAACACTAGACTTTGAATAGAATAATGCACTTCATTATTAGTGTTCCTCTATGGACAGATTAGAGGCTGAAATCTGTCCTTTAATAATTAGCAATTTTTATTCAAAACCTCTGGGAGCTGGTTAGATTCTGAAAGTAGTTCCCAATCTCACCACAGGGAGAAGAAAATTTTTCTAAATGATGAACTAACATGAATAGTATTGAGGATCCTTGGTAGTTTTCTCTCTCAAACATGAAAATATCTGGTTTACTCCAACGGCCCTGTGCTACCATAAAGTCTTTCATGGAAGAACATTCTAGAGACCCGCTATCATTCAGGATTTCACCAGTGGCTTTGGCTTTCCTACCCTCTTGTTCTTTCACATGCATGTCTCCTCCTTTTGACTTTGTAATCTTATCATGTATAGACTGCATTTTATTTCATTTCCTTTTGATTTTTCCATACAAGTGGTATATAGAAATCAGTAGCCCAGAGAGGATGTTTAAGTTCAATCCATGCCTTAAAATGTGGATACTGGCTTGTCTTCTTTCTTCATTGAATCAGCAAAGCCCTGTCTGTGCCATTGTGATCTCTTATGCTGGCCTCTGACAAAGCCTTTTATTTTAAAATTCTAAATGGCTATAGTAAAACTTCTCCTCTGGGTGACTCAGAAAAACCATAGGACAAATTATCCCCCTAGGAGAACGTGAACACTAGTTTTGCAGACAGATTAGGACAATTGCTAAAAGAATTCTGTCATTTCATGACAAAAACTTGTCAGGCATTCTATAAGGATCTTTGAAATCTAAGAGCTATGTCTGCTAAGATGTATCGCTCTGCTATTAGCCAAATCACTGGTCACACAAGCAAGGTGCACAGACAAGTCTAACAAATGGTAGGAAATTTTGTTTGAGGTCCAAGCAGTGGCTCAAGCCTACTCATAGAGAGTAACTGCACAATTTCCTGTCTGCAAAAAATTTTTATAATCTTCTTATCGAGGTCCACTTTGATGATAAATCTTTCAAGGGAAGTATTCAATAAAACCTTCTTTGTGAAAACAAAGGTAAATTTGAGCTGGACAATGCATCACTTTGGGATCTCTGTGTTCAACTTATTGAACAAAGTTTTCTGAATTTCACAAATGCACCTGTGCAAGACAAGAATGTTAATATACTCTAAAGGCTCAGTACAGTAAACCAATCAGACTTATAAAACCCTGGTCCAAAGATTCTCATACCATGATGAATCACTTTCATTAACAGAACATTCTTCTAGGCAAATGCAACTTGAAATGTTTACCATAGAAGGAGCTACTTTCCCTAACATCTGGTAACATTCCTCTATGATCTAGATGAAGCGTTCTTGATCAAAGTATCAACAAAGAACAAAAATAGTTTCTAAGACCTCAAACCTCCTAAGGTCATATGTAAATATGTGCATTCAAGCTTTCTAACCCCCCTTTCCATAATAGGGGACAAGGTTTTACATAACTCTTAAAGAGCATTTTGATCTAAAGGAAAGGGCTCTGATTAATTGGAAATCTGTTCTCTTACCACAGTAAAAGGGAAGACAGCCACCCTTCCTATGCTGGTGATTTGTCCTTATTCTTACAACTCTGGTGTGGCTTTAAAATAACTGTGCTTGTTGGTCCACTAATGTTACAGTAAGTTTCTCAATATTGTCTATGTCCAAACATAAATTAGTAAGTTCTGCCACATTTTTTTAAGATCTAAATAAATATAAAGAGATTATGTTTAGTAAATTAGCCCTTACCCTAAATGTAAGATGTATTTTGCAAACAATCCAAATTATGACCATCTAAATAGAGTCGATATTATCATTTTATAGGAATCTTAGTTTATTTTATTTTAGTGTCTCTGCTGTGCTTTGTGATATGTATTCTGTGATTTCAAGCTACAGTACAAATTTGTCCAGTTCTAAAAATGTTTTCAGATAAAAAGTTTGGTCCTACTTAGAGATATGTCTATAATGCTTTGCTATGGAAAAGGAGTAGTTCAACAGCAATAAAGATATTTTCTTTTTCCTCATAAAATGCCAACTTTTTGTCCACGTGACTACTATACACAGAACGTCTGGATCTTTCTACAAAAACCAATGTTAAATACCTGTGATGTAAATCCTCCACAACTACAACAAGGTGGAACCCCTGCTGGTAAACCCTTGTCAAAATCCTATTGTGATATTGATAGCCAAGAGTAATAAAAAGATAAGGTAGTTATTCCTTCTTCTAATTTTCTAAGTTTCTCGTCTACGTTATGTCAGGACACTAGAATGTCTTCACTAGAATGTCTTGTACTAGACTATTCTAACTCCCCATATTCAGAATACAAAACCTTTATCAGATACGCGTTTTATATGAGGAGCTCAGAAAGTGAACCTCACTCCCATTGATGTGGATCTCATCCCCTTGCACCTGGGCCATCAGTTGGGGAAAGCATAGCTTCCCAACCCCTGTGAGAACTGCCATGCAAGCTATTGCTACTGGGACTCCTGTGGAGAGAAAAGCCTGATGTTGCCTGAAAAGATGTATTTCCTTTCCTAAAACCTTCCTGGTAAACTGGTGCCAAGTGTAGACTATGCAATTCTTGTGAGTCTCAATGTTTACCTAAGCTTAAAGACCTCTGGTGGATGTTGCACCTGCACAACACAATACTTGAAAGGCAAATGTGTGGAGTTTGGCTCCAATTATAATAACAGCTTATAACAATTGTTAATATCTATTGTGTGCTTCCTGTATGTTGGCCCTGTTCTAAGTAGTTGACATATATTCACTCACAGCAACCCTATGCGGTAAGTACTACTATTATCTCCATTTTATAGATGAGGAAACAAAGGAACTGGAAGGCTTGGTCACTTGCTCAAGGCAATACAGCTGCTAAATGGTACAGCTGGAATCTGAGCCAAGGCAGTCTCGTTCAAATACCTGGTGCTCTTATCCATCATACACCCTGTCTTTCAGTAATATGTCACTTCCAATGTGTGTTTATTTTCAGGTATGAATAGTTGGAGAATTTGCACTAACATTAATATAATGTCTAAAATTTAAGAATTGACTAATAACTGATTTGGGGAAAGTTATAGAACTTTTGTAATGTCTACTGGTACTAAGAAAAATGAAGCTACCCTACTAGCCAAGGCATTCTATTAGGATAGTGATTTGATAATGTTTATATTCCATCATTTTCTAGGAAGAGCTTTTTTTTTTTTGAAATAGCAAATAGAAATACTCAGTCATCCTTATAAGCTCCAAACAACTTAAAAACTTTTAGATTAATACTATTTTATAACAAAAGATTTTTAAATTTTAAAATGTGGGTCTCAATAAGATAACAAAAAAACATAAACAAACCATATTATAGATTCTAGGACATAGAACTTCATAACATCATTTCATCTTTAAAATGTGTCACAGTGTAAATATAAACCAAATTTTCTCTGATTCGT